ATCAAAAGGCTCTCCATCACCCTGCTGGCTGAGATTGGCACCTTCTAAAATCACTGCTGTGACTAGATAATTTCTTGCGGCTGGGGCACTAAACGAATGTTTTGCCAGAATGAGAAGTCTAAAGGGAGACCCGCGTTTGCATCGTAAACCAACAAAATGAAACACCTTAGAAGAAGGTGGTCCTGATTGGGTGAGTGCAGCTTCCTTTGCTGAGCATGATGAGAACAAGGGGCTCCCAAGGACTGGTATTTGACTAAGAGCACTGGGCTGAACTTTCTCACCCTAACACATTTCTCAGGCAGAACTATTTATTTAAGGAAGGAGTTGAACAGGCACATACTTCTGTCATTCCCCCTTGGGTAAAGCGCTCAGACAAAATTAGGCACCCTGGGTAAACAGCACACTGCTTTCCCCAGTGGTTTCCACTTTTCCTGCACCATATAAAGTTGTGTCCCCTCCCCTCTGCACTTCCCCAGGAGCTCTCTCTTTATCATTGGTACTGAGGTGCAGCAGCTGCTGTGTGACACAGAGCTGCAGAGAATTCATAAGTATGCTGGAAGACTTCTTTGGCCCCTGAAATATTTTGACACACAAAACTTTCCATTTCTGGGGCTATAATATAAATATAAAACGCAATATTGGTAACTGGGCACCCTGCCCAGTTACTGACACGTTATTAAAATTAGTGTTCAAGGCTACATGTAAATTTTGAGATTCAATATCTCTGAAACAATTACCCAAGACTTTATAAGGAGATGTGACCAATTTGCTTTGCATGGTGGAAACCAACAGCAAAGAGACCACCCTGATGTGTTGAGTTCTTCTTGGGAAAGGAAATCTAAAAGAGCAAGGTTCTGCTGGAGATCAGCAGCACATACAGGGCACCAAGAAGGAAGAGACAAAAGTGAAACTCATCCTTCCCAGAGAATATTAATTATTCAGTGTGTTGATACTACACATGGGACAGCAGTCTAATGTGTCATATGTTGCTGCCCACAGACTGACACTGCACCAGAAATCAGGCACTGGGGAAAGTGCCTTAAAACCAACAGGAACATGATACAAACACAGCTATCCTAATTTTATCCCATGCTCCTTGGAGGATTTAAATGGTGGATTTCAACAGTTACCAGCCTGCTGAAACTCAAGGCTTTTTCTCCATGCTCCATTACTTTTCTCTTAGGGCAGCTTTAATAGTAATTTTAAGTTCCAACTCATGTAACTCTGTGAGCATTTTTGATTTCTTCTTCTGTGTGAGACCCTTTCCTCACCCCACTGTTCTGAAGAGGGTTTGAACTTGCTCTGCAGCACAGGGGGAGAGTGCAAAAATTGACCAAAAATCTACAAGAACATAAAAGGGTAGGGAGAATATTGTCTGCACATACAGAGAAGAGGAGAGCTCAGTTTTTGTTTACTGGGAATTCTGTTCCCTTTCTGCAAGGAGCAGAAAGCCCACACAGAAAACACACATGAAAACCTACAGAGAAAAACAGCTAAGAAAGGGGAGGCTGCTAAGGCAGAGCTCCAAACACACACCACTTACTTAAAATATGAAAGAACAAAGCAAGCAACAATACAGAGCCTAGCAAAGGAAAGGTGCTCTCTTTCTCCTTGCAGATCCAGGTTACAGAAGCCCCAACTCCTACAACCACATCATTACTCAGTTCTCGATCAGGTCAGCTGCACAAAGATTCATTAAATATTTACAGGTGACATTTTTCTGACTTGTGACAACCAGGATCAAGATAACCATCCATTTTCTACAGCCACTCTGTTCAAATCAGTTTGAGAAACCAAACAGGAAAGAAAGAACAAACAGCAACAGAGCCCACAGGCAGGTTTCTGACCAGCTACAAATAAAAATTTTACCCCTTGAAAGCAACAGAAAACAGCCACAGCTAGAGATTTTTTCAACAAATTCAGCACCTCTTAAAGAGTGCAGGACACAAATTTCATGTCTAAGAATATACAGAATAAACCAGCAGACAATTTCTGATCACAGTAGTTACTGTAGATTTTTGTGAAATGGCCAGGTACAGTAATGAGCTAAACTTTTAGGACTAAGCAACAAGCAGAAGAAAGAAATCTCACACACACTGTCATACATTTCCCACAAGAGGATGTCTCAGGAGAAGCCCTGTGAAAGTTATTTCTTTGTGTGTTGTGCAAAGACTTTCCTTGCACTACCCAGTATCTGGCAGTGCACTAACAAAGCAAATTTCTTGTGTAAATGAGATTTAAATCACACTGCTGTGCTGAGAAGGTCACCACTGCCAAGATAAACAGACACCAAGCCTTAGTTTGTAGATTCAGACATGCACAACTATTTTGCAAAAAGGCTTCCACCACAGAAATTTCAAAGTTAAAAATAGAAGGTGAGCTTGAGAATAGTAAAGTTTTCTCCCCACAATCCTGGCATTTTATTCCTTTTCTGACATATGAAAAGAGTGGGATAGCCAGCCCTGAAGAGAGCCTGTTACTAAACCCACATAATTGGTACACTGACAGAAATACAGGCTTCCTTTACCAGAATCATCTTTGCTCTTGTACCCAGGGGCTTCTCTAAGCGCCAGTTCAGCTTTCCTGCCTTTGCAATGCCTACCCCTCTGCAAGGGCTTTCACCAGGCCCCCCACAGGCACTGATGGTCTCGAACTGAAGTGTGGCCTGTATTTGGGAACACAGACACAGTGCCCCCAACCCCACAGAACACAGAGAGGGCTATTTTGGTAAAGTGGGACTTGATTCCTTTGGCTGAAGCATCTTCTCCTACTTATTCATGCTTCATAATTTCTGTGGACAGAGCAATTTCTGCAGATTAATGAGAATACAAGTTGAAAGCCTTCTTTGGTGTGTGACAGGCACAACGCCATGTCACCAGCCACAAAAACAAGCAGAGAAGTTTCCTACATCTTCCAGCAGGCTAACAGAAATAACTGAGTGCCATGGAGCTGCTTTCCAGACCAGAATAGCTCTACCTCAGAGCTGTTCAGAAACGCTCCAAATACTTGGTGAACATGCTGACATTTTAAAAAGAAGTCACCCGTACTTATCTTTTCCAATTATCTCCATAAATACATAAAATAAATTCCTTGTTAAGGTCAAACACTTCTAAATATCCTGGTTGATGTAAGCAACCAGGGTTTGCCTCATCAGGTTTACACAAGATGCTAGCACAGACAAGAAAAAGCAGAATGCCATTTTCCAGGGGACAAGTGAAATGAGTTAGTTACAGATTAACTTTGCCCCAGAGCAGCAGAGCAGACGTAAGAGATGAACACACAACAAGCCTTTGTCACTGGTTATTTTTGCTGCAACTAAGGCCATGCAGAATCATTTGGAAAGGCCTATCCTACTGCGAAGCTGTGCTGAACGTTCAGCACACTGATTCCAGTGTGTGCTCAAAGTCAGTGTGTGTTGTCTTTGTAGCAGGTCAATCTTTAAAAGTGTACTAGCTACTTTAAATAGAACTGGAAAGGCAAGAAAACTCAAAGTTCTTGAGCAAATATTTTTCTTTGCTGGCACCTAATGCTAATATTTTGTGCTAGCTCTGCTGTCTCCAACTTGAGCCAGGGGCAGAGATTAGCAGGAGGCATTCAGCAGTTGCAGGGTTCTAACAGCTCTGGCTACTCTGTTGTGGTGGTGAAGGGAATCCTTGCTGCCACTTCTGCTCTGAGTCTGGAGTAGAAAGGCAGCTCCCAGGCTCCAAAAAAGACTGCCATGAGCTCCACCACCACAGCAGAGTGCAAACAAGGTGACCACTGAATGAACAGAACCTCAGCACATTTGCTTAAGGCCCCCTAGCAGAAAGCTCAAGACAAACCCCAGCTTTTGGCAAGCAGGAGAAATTCGTGTGGACCAAGCACAAACTGTACTCGGATCACTACTGTGCAAGAGCACCATCACAGGTCTCACAGCAGTACAATAGGCTCAGATTAAACAAGTAGTTAAAGGAATTAAAGTCAGGACTTTCTGTTTGAAAAGACATTCTCCTGTGGATGACAAGTCAGTGATGTAGCTAAGCCTTTGCAATGCATCTAACACCCCAGTATGCCAGTCACAGGGACTCAGATACTTGTTAGGGCATTAACATCAGCCAGAAATAGATGCTGGAAGAGTTGAAGTTTTTGTTAGTACAGACAACGTTCACTGGGCATAAAAAAAAAACCAAAATTCTGCAGGGGGAAAGAACTGCAAAGACTATTTATGTGTTCTGCACTGGGCTCAGAGATGAGATACAAAATCCCACCAGCCCTGAAGGTGGGAAATTGTCACCTCTAGTATTTTCCTTTCCCTGTTCACATCATGTTGTATTACAGTGGGAATTTCACCTCTTCTTCGTGTAGTAGAATTAAACATCTTTTAGCTGAGTAACTCCTTACCAATAATACAATAATTCTCTCTAACAAGCGCCACTCCCACACTAAGAATCCCGGGCCCGGAATGTTTCTGCAGTCGCTCCTCCAGCTCCTCCTGATGGCGAACAGTGGGCACAGCACCCTAACCGAGGGACTGGATGGAAAGGCTGATGGCACCCTACGCCAAATACCACAACAAACAAGACCTAAGCAGGGTTTGGTCAAAGACAAGACCTAGGCATCAGCAGAGGAGCAGATGCACAAGAGGCCTTCTCCGGGTCTGTGAGAGAAACCTCCAGCTGAGCACCAGTCAAGGCCAATGGTTCTGCTCTAAACTTACTGTCCAACTGGCTTAGTGAGGGAAAAACAGGGAATGACACCTATGGAACAAAGGGGGGATGTCACCAGTGAGAGGGGATCAGGCTGGCAGGCCCCTGCAAGACAGGAGAGAGATTAAGGCAGCCAAGGACAGAAAGTTTGAAAACAGCTGAAGATGTTTGAGTGAGTCCCATTTCTATATTCATCAGCTCAAGAACTGATACAGCAGCCTGGGATGCCTTTTCTTTTAGGAAGGAAAAAAGAAAGGGATCCAAGAGATTGTAACAGAGAAAGCATATGGGAAAACAAAACACACAGAAGTACCCTCTAGGTAACAAACATTTTATTTATTTCTTAAAGAAACTACCGCTGTATACGTGATTACAGAATTATGAAGCACTGAAAAACCAAAGGAATGAAATGGCCTGGATCCAAGCACTAAGGACATCACGCCTTGTCTTTCATCGAGCCATCACTCAGAAAAATCACATTATCTGAAAATAAATTTAAAAAATTAACCTTGAGCATTGTTTTGCCTTGTTGCAAGCCTTCACACCATGAAGCCCAGGTATTTGTGTTAAAATAAGTTGCTGGGATGTGTATTTTGGAACACAATAATAGTTCATAAAAAAAAAGTGTCCAATACAGGATTCTTTCTCTATGTCCCCTGAAAGCAGACAATTCAAGGTGGCTATATGTTCTATGAAACAAGTGTGCTAAAGCTGATGAAAAGCTGCTGAACAGTCAAAGGCACTAGAAACACTTTAAAATAATGGTTTCATTCTTTGACTACACTCTCCATCAGTTACAGCTTATTTCCTTTTTCTTCTGTCATGTTCAGTCTGCACTACCATGTCCACAGCCTCTAGGACTATGGGAAGCTCCTACTTCATCAAGCCTAAGGAATTTCTGAAGCGCCTTGAGACTGGGCAGTTTGAACATGAAACCATTAGGAGAATACTAATTAAAAAAGAGAATTGCTTCTCCCTTCCAGTAACTTATAGCACTGCTAACTTTAAAGAGGCTGAAGAAACATCCAGGAATATGAGTGTTCTTTTTGCTTTTTTTTTCCCTTCCTTTTCCTCTGTCCTATTTTTTTTTTAAGCCATACTGGTGCAACAGAAATGTTTGCTCTACTACCCAATTAATTTATCCCGCACTCAAAAGCAAGACGGTAGCAGCTCTATCCACAATAAAGATGTAGGATGATCAGGCTATTTAAAGGCCCCAGGAAAAAGTTGAGTTTCCTAGTTTTCTTCATTGTGTAATTCCAAGGCACAAGCCCACTCCTTAGCCATTCTGTGGGGTAAGCAAATGACACCAACACTTTGCAACTGTGTACTCTCATTTTCTGTGTGTTCACAAGCAGTGCCAGAGGAAATCTTCTGGTACACGCTATCCATGCTCTCAAAATCCCTGAGTGTAGATACCAAGGATGAAGACAAACCAAGCTCCATCTCAGAGGTCCTCCAGCCCCTTTTCATTTCAAAAGGGCAAGGGGCACCTTGGTGCTTTGCATCTTACCTGCTATAATTGTTGTGGCCTGTCGCCTCACATTGTTCTTGTCTGTATATTCACCATAATCTATCTTCCCTTCTACAAAGATTCGAGAGCTGAAAAAAAGCAAGAATTTGGTTTTGGTCAGAACTGTGCTGCTGCTTTCCACTCTGTAATCATAGACTGGTTTGGGTTAAAATGGGACCCTAAAGACCCTATGTTCCAACCCCCTGGCTGTGGGAAGGAATACCATCCAGTAGATCAGGTTGCTCAAAGCCCCATCCAGCCTGACTTGGAACACTTCCAGGGATGGGGCATCACAGCTTCTCCAAGCAGCCTGTGCCAGGGCCTCACTACCTGAACAGTAAGGCTTACACCCATATATCCAACACAAATTTCCCCTCTTTTACTTGGAGCCCACAACTCCTTATCTGATTTTAAGCACACAGGCTTTTGTATCAGTTGTTTGTAGCAGCTCTGCTAACCTGTTTTATGGCACCTGTATCTTACTACAGTTCCTGGTCACCATAATCATTACAGTGTCGTCTTCTGACTGATATCACCTATGGGACACAGAAGTAACAGAGCTGGATGCCAAATCCTCTTTGTGACCCAAGACTCAGAAATTAGTTTCAACACATTGGTATTCTCAAATGATGAGAAGTGATTTGAAAACAGAAGTATACTAACACTCCATCTCCCACTTCAGTCAGAATTAAATGTTCCACTTGTCTGTGTCCAAACAAATTCTTGTGCAGAAGCACAATTCAAACCAAGATACTGCTTTTTCTGTTAAGATAGTGATCATTTTATTAACCTTGATTTAACCAGATGTTCTTTAAATAATCTTACTAGATTCATTCAGCTGAACAGATTTCTTTCCTCAGTTCCATCTAAAAAAATATTTATTTTTTCTTCCCTCAGACACTCCATACCAAATAGAATTTGGAGAGTGAGACATTTGCAGGTGCAAACTGATGACAGAATCAATGAGAAAATTATCTTTTCTTTATTTTTCTCATCCTGAAATACAAGAGTATGAACCTGCCATGCCTCTGGCAAACCCCACCAGTGACAGTGACAAACTACCCGCTCAACACCATCTCCTCTCCTCCTGAGGAATGCCAACAGCAGATCACTCTTCAGCATATGCTGTTGGAGATCAGTAAGAGACACACAAATGTACCAGCATCACTGCTGACATTAAAGGAACCTTCCTGCACCCCAGAGATTTGCAAGTGTGGTGCTGCAGGCCATGCAGCCGTGACCTGGGATGTGTTGCTCGTGCAGACTCACCTCCCTGGCCCACTTCACTATCTCCTGTCCGCCACATCTCATTGGTTGCAAGGGAAAATATGGTAACAGGATTTTTTCCTTCCACTTGCCTCATGATAGGGTCCTGTCCAACCCGACCAAGCAGCTGAACACGATTCATGGCTGAAACAAGAGAGACCGAACAGACATACAGGTGAATTATGATGCTTCTAAGCATGGCAAGGCATCAGTCAGCAGCTTTTCTCAAGGGCCAGGAACACAACTTTCTGCACCTCCTAAGCACTTTTTAAGCTCTTGTGACATTTGGCTTTTTTGGGCCCCAGAAGATGGCTGATTGTGCCTGTAATGTCATTATCACTGCAAAATAACTGATTTAAAAAGCCAAAGGTTCTTTATTCTTTCTGCTCCATCTCTTTCACAGACACATCCATGTATCACTTGAGACTAATTTGCATTTACTCATCTTGTGTTTTGTTTCATAATGGTAAGACACAATGCACAGCAGTACCTTTGAAACAAAGTTGCATTACTATACTCCATCCTCTGAATAACAGTCAGTTTTTACACCAGTACCAGGCCTAGGCAGACACAGTCTATCCCTTCTCCATGTTCAAGGACAACTGGAAGAGGTCAGGGAAGCATCCCTTATGCACAATAAGCACGTGAAGAGAATAGTGAAGGCTGAGTTACACCTGGAGCAAATCCTGCTGGGCCAGCAGCACACACACAAGTGCCCCAGGAGTCTGAGAAAAGGCACACAAGACACCTGAAGGCAGGTGTTAGAAACCATGCCAACAGCAGGCCCAAACCACTGCCACAAGAAGTACAGCTACCTTCCCTGTAGAGGTGGCAGTCCTTGTCAGGGTTTTTTTCCTTTTCCCCTTAAAGTGCTGCTTCACCTGACAGAGACCAGACAGGAAACCACGCAGAAAAGTCTGTGCGCTTGAAACAACACCTTCTTAGCTGCTACACTGAGGAGCTACCATTCTCCTCCCTGCTTTCAGACACTAAAACTGAGACAGACACAATGAGTAACTAAATTACATCTCAGGAGTTACTTACATCTTTCAAGTACCAATGAGGTAACCGTATCAGACTCATGTCTTACAAACTGGCGTAGCACCTGAAGAAACAGAGAAATGTGAGCTTCCAAGACATGAACTACGAGCAGCATTCACAAGCCTTTACACCTCATTTTCTTCATGCTAGTAGAAGTTCTGCAAGCATGTTCTTTTCCAGGTAACTAATGGGGGAACTGGGGAAAGAAATCTGTTCAGCCAAATGAAGCTAGTAAGATTATTTAAAGAACATCTGTTTAAATCAAGGTTAAAGAGTTAGCTAGAAAGAAGTGTGCCCCAAAGCTATACCTCCAGCAATTATTTTTGGGACATGCAGTAACTACTGTTTTTCTGTGATACATAAATAGGAGGGGAGGAGGTTTGATTGTTTGGGCTTTAGTCTTTGGAAACAAACAGGTCTGACAGCTCTGCTTCATTTCGGAGGTTAACCAGGTGTGCCCAAAAAGTACATCCATCCACTGGAACAAGCAGTGGATGCACTGACACCCTTGCTCCCAAAGCAAGTCTAGGACACAAAACTCTTAGTACTGCAAGTGGGAAAGCAGTAAAGGAACTGCCATTATTCCAGCAAATATTCCATCCCAGAAGAAAGGAGGGGAAAAAAAAAAAGTGCAGCAACGTTTGTGCTAGAGGTCCATGTGCAAGAATTGGAAAAAAGGCTCATTTCGCCTAACACGTGGTTCCAGGCCCGTGAGAGAGCTCACACGCTTTCCCCCCAGGAGCAGACCCAGCGCCGAGGCCCCGGCCCAGCGGGCCCGGCCGGGCGAGGGCTCCGGGCTCTGTCC